TGAAGGTGCGAAACGCATACCGAACATGATTACATTAGCACTCAAACTATCCAGAAAAGCTTGCATCTTACGTGGATCTTCACTTAGTAGCACGTCGTCTGCATACTCTAGATCAGACAGTCCGCCATCTGGCAGTAAATCGATACCGCTATCCTCGCACAAGGATAGGGCTGTTTCAAGAATTGAATCTATCACGAATTTAAATAGAAATGGAGAGAGAGGGCAATCCTGTTGAACACCACTTTCCGTGGTGAACTCGGGTGAAAAAGTGCGATAAGCTCGAACTCGGCTTCGACTATTAGCATAAAGCGATTGTAATATTGCGATTAACTAAGACCTGGCATGAGGGTATGAAACCCCTAACCAGGAGACTAGGTCACATAGGCCCTGTTAGGCTCCCTGGCTGGGGACCTCGGGATGATGATCATCGATGGTTAGAGACACTAAATGACGTGGCTGGGTGTCGGAAACAGTGGCGCTCGTGCATCCACTCATTATTCTCCTATCACTATTTCATATGGATTCTCTATCTTCCACTTGAATTTGCTTTCAACATTCCAATCTTCATTCTGGTCTTTTATCCAAATGGGTCACCAAAAGACAGCAACCAAAACCGGTCCCACGAAACTGCATGGTTAATGGTTGTAAAAACTGAAACTGAAACTAACAAACAGACCCACATACACCCGATCCTCAGTTTACCACGACAACGATCACGACCCAATTTATCCAACTGTACTTCGCGTCATCTATCCAATAGAGCAATAGAGCAGTAGTTGAATGACAGATAAAAACTCACCACAGTTTTTCGAGGACGAATATACTGGAAGCAACCGAGGATAGTGACAGACAACAATAATTGAAATGAAAGAGAAATAAACGAGTACTTTTCACGGATTGGATCCCAGAAAGTGGAATGAGACAAGAAATGGACTGAAAACATAAACAGCCCATAGCACACTCTGGTCGTGCTGACGCTGTTTGTTCATGACAGTTTAGTTGTAGCATCAACCCACAACTTGAACGCAATTGACTTGACGGTATCCACCTATCCACAACCCGAGTTGACATCTGAGAGGATACCATTCTGCTTACCTTGTGATAACTATGACCTGATAATAGTCCGTACAACGGATAATGTTGAGTTTCTTAAAAAAAATCACAGTGAATCCACAAAATTTTGTATCAATTGATGTGTGGAGATCGAACGTCCTCAAATTTCAGATAGTTTGCCAGGGGAATCGGGCCGTATACATGGCAAACAAAGTGAAATGATAAACCGGAAACCACTGTACCCGCAGGTTCAAACTTTGCGGGGTTTTATCAACAGTGTGAATTCATCGACTTGACGGATAGATTTTAGCGAACCCAGAACGTCACACGTAGAATGCAAGCCTAAGCAAGACCAAACATGGTGTGTAAACAGTGGCATAATGCTTGAGCTGTGTAAATTTGTGAGGTTTATAAGGACCGTATGAAATCTGAATAAAAAAGCGCTTTTCGATTCTTGTTTGTTTCACCCCAAAAGCTTCAGTATGGTCGGGGGTGAGGGTCTAGGGCTTTGTCTGGTCACTCTTTACTTGAACTTCACGAAACGCTCACGTACAACCAAGCGTCTCAAATGGCCTCTGCTGACAAAGCCCTACTCATCGCCTTTACGTGGAGCAGAGGCGCTTTCTCACCAAAGTGAGAGAACGAACAGCCTTGAACTTTGAACGTTTGATCTCATCCAGAGGATTTATGATACGATGAACTGAACACCGGCCCCCAATGGATTGCGGTTTTTACACAGCACACCGCTGTTCTGCGAGTCAAACTTTGGCTAGCCGAACGGTCCGGTTGTGGATTCCTCAGGAAAATTCACGTGCCTTGGTCTGGGCAATCTGACAGTATCGCACCCACATGCAAATTATGGAACTTTTCTCTGCTTTCTTAAGATCCTTGTAGTGTGATTTGCTTGGTACGCAGTTTGGCCTCATACGTGTGTGAAAAATAAAAATAAAGATAATATAGGATCCGATTGCTCCGATTCTGATTTATTGTACTGTAAGCTGAATGGCTCGGAAATGTTTAGTTGATTGTTCCTATCTTTCTAACCACTAGTTTTACTTCAGCCAACTGTATCGTATAGGCACAATTTCAAGCCAGTTATCTCTATCTTATCCCCATTTGTTGTGTCCTTGTAGTGTGCTCCTATAGTCGCGCTGGAAAGTTGTCCGAAGTAGTGCGATATGATCCGGTTCACAGTTTCTAGTTGGGGTTAGATGTATTCAGCGCATAAACACCACTTTAAGGCAACGGTCGTTAACCCCGCCAGTGAGCGACATCGTAGATTATTGAATATCGCGAACTGAGTGCCATCGTTTCTTTGTGCGTGCATTTGATTGTTTGGGTAAATGTGTCAATATGATGTGAGAAACGATGCTTGCGATCAAAAATTGATAAACAAGAGGTTGAGTCTCATAGTTGGGACTCATACTCAGAACATCGCATGTATACACGTAACCTGTGCATGTGCAGGGTGCGCTCCATCGACATCTCAACGACAAGCCAATCACCAGAACCACATCCTAGACAAATCTATTTGACCTGACGATAAACAGACCAGTACACAGCTTGAACTAAAACTGAACCGAGTACACGATAGACGAACAGTACCAAGGAAGCTGAATTAGAATATACAAATGTGCTGTCTGAAAACCGATGCTACTCGCGGTCAGAATTCGTTCGATAACGGTAAACCGGATTCAGACGGGGCTGCGTCGGGATTCAGGTCCGGTGAACAGAATGACCATTCACAATGGTGCTTCCGCCATACTGGCACAGAATGTTTTGACCAACTATGGATATCGAAAATTCCAATGACTGGAAGTGACACGGGAACGAAACTACTTCAGCCTCACAATGATCTTACTCACGTGCAAACAACCGTCCACTTTGGTTGCGATTTCGGAACCTGGTTCCGGTTACCAGTTGTTCAGTATTCCCGTTCCAGAAACCGACTATCCAAGCCACAAACAAACAAAAATAATCAATGTGTTTTGGTCATTTCGACTCAATGTGTCGCACACAAATCTGGGGTAGGGGTGCGGCTAAGCAGAGCAGATAGTATCGTGAACGCGGATAGATCGTTGCAGCTGGACTTTGCGTGCAGAGCAGACAATGTGTGGCAAACCCATCGGAGGACCGTGGTCTGACTACATGGGAAACCGGGTAATGCAACACCGGGTCATAAGATGAGCCAGGTAATTAGCTTGTTTCCGGTGCTAGATTATTTTCTGTTTATCACTTTATCCAGTTCTGTGGAGCAGGTTGTTTGGGTCGAACAGTAAGACGTGTCTATCCGTTCGGGGCGATGACAAACCAGTTGACTGAGTCCTCCCTAAACGGTCAAGGGAAGGTTACCCAAAGAGGCCCGAATTTCGTCAGCAGTTGAGGTGATTGCCATCCGTTTCCACCCATCGGCCGCTGTGCATTCAGAGGCAGTTTTACCATGACCACTCACACGATCCCTCTTTCACCACGACGCGTCCTCTTCATCCACCTTCAAAACATACACGTATGAACACTAAGCATACCAAATATCACAATAACATCATTTCATTCTATACTCTGATTTATTTTACAATTACGTGTCCTTTAGTCACCTGATTAATCAATTACAAAACTATGCTACATTTAGCCAGTTGATGTGGCATCGAGAACAAACTTGTTAGTTAACTTGTGCTCTCATGTGACCCCTTAACCGAAGAAATGTTTGCACAACATTGGGTTTGGAAAATTTGGACGGAAACATGTCAAATGTCGGGAAACAGATAGGACTAGAAATGTGTGTACTCCGACAAATAACAGAAAATAGATGCAGTGACTAAGGCCCATAGTCATGAGAATCCCATGGTTTCGTGAGAACGGCCGATAGTCGATAGTCTGGGAGCTGATAGAAGTGAATCGTTTGGGGGCCTAAAGACAGTCGTTGTGGTAGTGATAGCACCGGTCGATTTTCTCAAGGACACAAGCATGGAATAGCCGTCATTGCCAGATAAATACTGAAAAATGATATTCTTATCGTCCAAAGACTATGATGACATGGAGCACCCAGATTACGCGTCTTTTGATCAAAGGCGAAGTTAACAAGCCTCAGTGGAAACCGGCGTTCGTGACCGAGTGGCGTTTCTGTTTGATCTATATGCCATTTTATCCATACAAAATACTTGATTAGCAAACAACTTTAAAAATCATGCTTTATACCAACGATTGGATACCGGAGGAAACCGTATGTGAAAACGCAAGATTAAAAGAATTACGGAAGCCACACACACACACAAACGCGCGCGCGCGCACAGTGCTCCGTGACACTGCGCGCCAGAGAACTCACTCGATTATGCTCCTTCCGGAACAGCGGAAACAGGGCAAACGCGAGAAACGCGCTGGACACGGCCATACCGATCGCCACCAACAGCCACTGAAATATGTTACTGGGAATGGCCCAAAGAATCTGGTTGGAAATGAAAAGATAACGGAGGAAATACGCTAGGATCACGCACAGGTCGTAGTGTACTCTACCCACACCGACATCCCTTCGCGAAGGGGAAGCATGGGACGCGATCGTAGCAAGCGTTGAAGAAAGAAAATTCCAAAGAAAAAAAACATTTTCAATCATTCAGTTCACGAAAATCGACATAGCCCTAAAACAATGTGTTGTTGCATTGATGCTCGAGGTAAAACCGATAAACAAGACAAAACAGGACAACATACCGGGCACAAACTATTGCAAGTGAGACAAATGCATAAATAATGAAATGGAATACAATGATTCAACACATCCAACCGTAGACAGGTTAAGTCTGTTCAATTCAAATGTGGAAATCCAATGTCAGTAACAACGTTGCATGGATCAATTGTGGTGTACGTGCAGATGGAATTTGTAGCTTAGTCAGCCCAAATCAATATCACTGATCCGACTCTACCGCGTCCAAGTAATTGTGAGTTTCATGGGAATGAATTTCTAGCCTAGAAGTTTGCCGTAATTTGATCCAAATTTAGACGGAGGTCATGGATTAGTGGAATATAGTTAAAAGGTAGTCACCTATGCCTAACTTTGTTCAGATTAGATCAACTGACTGCCTGACTGACTGAAAACGATATCCTAACAAACAGGAATCGGTAATTACGGTCATCCCCGTTGTGAGTTGACTGGGGCAATGGTAACACACACACACACACGCCTTCCATGTGATTTGTCCGTAGCTCAAAACCGGGACGGAAAGTTGGATATGCACTGCTGATGAACTTTGACTAGAGCGAAACCCAAGTCTGCGGATGCTATTACAACAGCGATGACTACAATGGTTTGGTCACATAGTTTGCAAATCTGAAAACGACCTGAACAAAACTGCCTTGGCCTTCGCTCCGTCTACGGCAATCGCCAATGGAGGATCACAATCTGATCTTGCCGCAGACCGCCAGGAGTTGACAGCGGCAATTCGGGATATCCATGAAGCCGGCTTATCCTTTCCCAGGAGTCAGTCACCATAAGATAAGCAAGTACGAAGCCCAAGTGTAATGCTTCCTGAATGCATCTCGCTATTTATCATTGTGAAGAAAAGGAACACAGAAAGAGAAAAACAGGTACACAAGTGCACATAGCCGTGATCACCATGCTTTCAAATGATCACAACATCGGGTCTACGGGTCTGTCATGATACGGGAGTGGAGACCACATTTACTATGGTTGAATGGCACAACTCACCGAAATGGGAACGAATACAGCGAATGAGTAGCCGTACACAGAGAGCAGATCGACAAATTTGTGCGTAGGAACAGACAGAGATCGTTCGTTGTCAAGCAAACTATTTCGATCCTCGTTCTCATTGGCTTCCCGGGCACGTTTCGAACGCATATATGCGAATGCGGTCAAACCCAGCGGGATTAACCACCAATATATGTAGATAATTGTTGAGGCCAATGTTACTGTGAGGGGATAAGAAAAAAGCATAGAATTCAATAGTATTCGCTGCTTTGGACCAATTCATTTTTTGCATCTCAAGCAATTGTTTGATCAATTCTAGCTAAAAAAAGAGTTGGACAATGATGAGACAATGCCAACAGGCATCATCACATTATTCCTTATCACACACAGCATAGCACAATCTACGAAAGACCTAGTGAGTGAGTGGGTAGTGTCTTGGATTATGACTGCTCACCATACCCCTGTACCTTTTAAAATGCATTTGCACGATGAGGCCTATTTAAATAGCCCCTAATGATGAAACCTTACGCACGTGGTAGAGGTAACTTTCCGTAAAAGCGAGGACGAAACACTTATATCTGGGGCTATGACCAGGTTGGTCGAAAATTCGGCAGTTCACATAGCTAAAACCCCTGATTTCAAAGCAACCGAGAACAGGAGTACAAACGCAACAGACCTCCCTGGTTGATGCAGTGGTCACCGGATTGATTCAGAATAGCAGTGTATTGAGCACCTCGGTCGTTTGACTCCGGCCAAAGGACGAATGATGGGGGCGAAGTGGATCCCGCCCTCAAGTGGTTTTCGTACACAGCCCCGTTGGCTTGGGAGTCAAACTTTGGCTAGTCGAAGGCCTGACTGGAAACACCTCGATGCCCAATCGAGCCGATGACCATTGCGACAACCAAGAAGTTGTATGTGGTTCGTCGCCTCCTCTTAGTTGGTTTTGAACAAGGTTTTTGGTGAACTCCCCTCCGTGAACTGCCAGTGGTCCACCAGCCCGGTTATAGCCCCGGATATCGGCTTTTCGTCCTCTCACTTTAGTGGGA